TTTCTGAAGAAGGGTCTAGGCCCGAAACGTCAGCCTTCCTGCTCCTCTGATGCTGCTTGGCCTGCTGTGTTCATCCAGCTCTACACCTTGTTATCTCTCATCAGTGGACTCCATTTACACTTTTCGTTGCCACAGAAAGGTTGCCAATGTCGTCAAGGACCCCCTCCCACCCAAGTAACACTTATTTCCAACCTCTTCCGTCAGGCAGAAGATACAGAAGTTCGAACACATGCACCAACAGTTTCAAGAAGAGCTTTTTCCCTGGTCTTATCAGACTGCTGAATGGACCTCTAATTTCAGCCCTAATGTTGACCTTGCTTTTGTGCATCTCCTGTGCAGTCGTAACCTTGTATGCTCGCTCTGTCTAAGCACCCTATGGTCTGTGTGTCCTTGTTTACTATGATCTGCCTGTATTGCTCACAAAACACTGTATTTAGGTACATGTGACACAATAAAATCAAATAGATACTACTTGCATTTAATATGAAAGTCACAAGTTTATATTTATCCAACATATATCCACACCCCAAAAGCTCAAAAAGAGAAAAGTTGTAAGCATAATATACCCAGTACAATATAACTAAACCACAGCAGCCCTGTCACAATCCTTCTCTGGGGATTGTGTACAACTGGGAGGTTCTCCTCAGTTCTAGAAAATGCATTTCGCAGTCCTGCTCAGTTCCTCACCACCAGGTTTGAATCGAACAGCTCAGTCTTCCAGGTAATTCAGTGAATTTTCAGGACTGAAAGACAGTTTTCAATTTATATATCCAGAATTGTTCTCTGCAAACATGAGCAGATCTATCTGTGGTCCTATTGTAAATACTAATTGCCTTACTGGAGGATCCATGTAGTTCAATCATGTCGAAGCTTCACACACTCCAAACTCCCTGTCTGGCTAAAGAAGAACAAATGGTGGGTGCCACATTAACAAATCAGTCTCAATTTCCTGAAGAGAAAGCTCCAATGAAATCCACTGCAGCAGATCAAACTAAATGAGAACCTCAAAGAAACAAAAGAAAGGAGATAACAAGGTGTAGAGCTGGATGAACACAGCAGGTCAAGCAGCATCAGAAGAGCAGGAAGGCTGACGTTTCAGGCCCAGATCCTCCTTCAGAAATTTCTGTCTCTAAATGAAAGGGGAGATACTTCAGATGCAAAATGTCAAATGGATGTTAACTCATTCACATTTTCTTTAGTGTCACTGAAACAGTTGAATAAGAAGACATCTCCTTTCCCCATACATTGGCAGGATTGTAACACTGGTTAAAACACCAAAGAGCTCATATCTTCCTGGAAGAACACAATCTGCACATATTCTGTGGGGAGAATATGGTTTGCAGAGCTTTTAAAGATCCAAGTCAGCCAGATGGCTGGTTCATACCTGGATTTCTTCATTTACAGCCTGGGAGACTTCTTCAGCTACTGACTCCAGCTTGTTTTGCACCGCTCTTAGTAAAGGTGGAGTATTACCCACTTGGTACAAGGTTGGTAACACCTGTAAAAATAAGATGCGAGAGATAGAGTGAGCAAAACAGCTCGAAACTCCAGGTAGTAAATAAAAACATTATTAATAATTAAAAATCTATGTTAAAATGAGCTTTTAAAGGTTTCATAATGCAACCCTTCAATTCTTTACTTCTTGAGGAAGTTGAAATTAAAGGTATTAATGAACAAGACTGCCTAAGATCAGATTACAGGAATTTACTTCTCAGACAATGATATAAGCAGAGGTCATATTTTCTTTGACCTTGCTAATTAATTAGAATACAAGAAAATATGAAGATCATGACAGGTCATTCAGCTCAGCAAAGTTTTCTACTGTCCCAGCCCGCTGTGTTTGAGTGCCCACAAAGCTGTTTCTCTGCATTCCCAACAACCTAGAGTTGGAAAACTTGTGATCATTGAGATTACAGAATGTTACAAAATGAAACTAAACATTCAGCCCCTCAGGACTGTACACCATTTTCTCCACATAAGAAATCTCTAATTGCACCCTTGCTCACTTGCAGACTTGTACCTCTCTCTTGCCTCACTTCAACAACAGTCTCAAAAAACAGGGAGACAGGACTCATATCATAGGATTGCCAGTCTCCTTTCTCCGTAAAATGTCTAATGCGTTCTTTTTAAAAAAATATCTTATTACAGGACAAACTTTTCACTTTTAAAACAAATGAAGGCGAGAGGGCGTGGGGGTGGGGGTGCGGGGGTGGGTGGCGGTGGGGGCGCGAGAGGCCGGTTCATTCAGTCAAATGAACCTTAATTTCAGACCAAAGCAGGTCATTTCAGGGAAAGATGTCTTTAACATCAGAAATGTTGTTATTTGCAGCCCACATAGTAAGGGCTGAGGGAAATATCTTGTGCTGTTTAGAAAAAAAGCCAAAAATAAAAAGTATTATAGAGGAAGACAGCCTACAAAAGTTATGAAGACACAAGGTTAGGGAAATTATGAGAAGCAGTAAGTGAGCTGAGTCAGCACCTCATTTAATGATCTCAGGAAGAGAGCATCCAATGAAAGCAGACATTTGCTAAAAAAGAAACTGATCAAATGGAGTAAAAACTCAAAAAAGGTCAGTCAACTATGACTGACAAAGGAAGTTAAGGATTGCGTGAAATTAAAACAATAGTTTTATAAACTGGTCAGAAATAGTAATAAATATGATTGGGAAGTTGTGAAGAATACAGCAAAAGAGGACTAAGAAACTAAAACAGAAATTGCTGGAGAAACTCAACATGTCTGGCAGCAGTGGAGAGAAAGCAGAGTTAACATTTCAAGTCCAGTGACTCTTCTTTAGAATGGATATGGGCCAGGAAAAAGGTGGCATTAAGCTGATAATGACGACAATGAGTAAGTGAAAATCATTTGGCTGTGCTAAAAGCAGCTCGTGTCATGACAGGAACAAAAATAGAAGTTGCTGAAAAAGCTCAGCAGGTCTGGCAGCATCTGTGAAGAAAACTCAGAGTTAATGTTTTGGGTCCAGTGACACTTCCTCAAAACTGATCGTAGCTGGGAAAATGTTGGTCTAAATGCAGAAGATAGGGTAGGGGGGAGGGGTAAGGAGTAAATGATAGGTAGGGAAAGAGCCCAAAGAGAGAGAAGAACAGTTGGACATTCAAAGGAGTCAATAATGATCAGGCTGGGAGAGTGAATAGTTGTTAATGGGGACTATTAGTGACTAACAACAGGGGGTGTGCAATGGCAGGCTATGTGGTAACAAGGCCTGGTGTGTGGGGTAGGGGGCTGGGACATGGGAAGAGGTTAGGCCCGAAAATTATTGAACTCGATATCGAGTCAGGGTCCCCAAGAAGAAAATGAGGTGTTGCTCTTCCAGCTTGTGCACAGCTTCTCTGGAACACTGCAGCAAGCCTGAGACAGATGTTGGCCAGGGAACAGGGTGATGCGTTAAAGTGGCAGGCAATTGGAAGCTCAGGGTCTTTTTTTGTGGGGGGAAACGTAGATGTTCGGCAAAGCAGTCCCCAGTCCACAGTTTGTTTCCCCAGTGTACAGGAGACCATATTGTGAACTGCAAATGCAGTAGACTAGATTGTGGGAAGTGCAGATAAAGTGCTGCTTCACCTGGAAGGTATGTTTGGGCCCTTGGATACTGGGGAGGGAGGAGGTAAATGGGCAGCTGTTACAGCTTTGGTGATTGCAGGGACAATACCATGGGGCTGTGGAAGGGTGTTGGGGGTGAAGGAAGAGTGGACCAGGGTATCCCAGAGGGAACGGTCCCTGTAGAAGGCAGACAAGGGAGGGGAGGGGAATATGTGCCTGGTGGTGGCATCTCACTGGAGGTGGCGGAAATGGCGTCTGATGATCTTCTGGATGTGGATGCTGGTGGGATGGTAGGTAAGGACAAGGGGAACCCTTTTGCTATTGTTGGAGGGAAGAGAGGGGGTGAGGGCGGAATTGCAGGAGATTGGTCATGACAGGAGCTGGGATGGGTGGTGGGGGGGGTGATGCAGGTGGGTAAAAGACATAGAAGGAGGTGATCAGACTCAAAAATTATTGAGGTCAACATTGCGTCCTGAAGGTTGCAGGGGCCCTGAAGTGGAAGATGAGATGCAGTTCTTCTAACTTGAGCTGTGCCATGCTGGAGCACTGCAGCAGGCCCTCAAGACAGAAATGTTGGCCAGGGAACATGTGGTGTGTTGAAGTGGCAGGTAACTGGAGGCTTGGAGTCATTTTTACAGACAGAACTTAGGTGTTCTGCAAAGGGGAACCTGGTCTGCACTCTATCTCTCCATGTGTAGAGAGAAGCACACTGTGAGCAGTGAATGCAGTAGACCAGATTAAGTGAAGAGGACGGTAAATCACTGTCTCACCTGGAAGGTGTGAGGAGATGTTGGGAGTGGAGGAGAAGTGGACCAGAGTGTCCTGGAGGCAACATGCCTGCGAAATACTGACAAGAGAGAGGAGAGGAATGCGAGTCTGGTTGTAGCAGTCTGCTGGAGGTGGCAGAAATGGTGGTTTATAATCCTTTGGATGCAGGTGCTAGTGGGTGGAAAGTGAGCACCCGGGGACCCTATCATTGTTGTGGGAGGGAAGAGAAGGAGTAAGGGCAGAAGTGCAGGAAATGGGTTGGATGCAGCTAAGGGCTTTTGCAACCACAGTGGCAGGGAATTCTTGGTTGAGGGAAAAGAAGATTTGAGGCTCCCCGACCCCACTGTGGAAAATGGTGTCATCAGAACAGTGTGACCGAGACAGAGAAACTGGGAGAATGGAATACAATCCTACTGAAAGCAGGATGTGAGGGTGTATAGTCGAGGTAACTGTGGGAGTCAGTGAGTTTGTACGAGGATAATCGGTGGCCAGCTATCCTCAGAAATGGAGAAAAAGATGTTGAAGGGAAGAGAGGAGTCAGATAGATAAAAATGATCTGATTGGACACAATCAGCATGGATTTGAAAATGGGTAGTTGTATTTTGCAAACTTGAAATTGTTTGAAGATGTCACTTACAAAATTGATAAAAAAGGATGGATGTAATATATACTTGGAATTTTCAGAAAGCTTTTTAAGAAGATCCCCAAGGAAGTTGCTTAGCAACATTAAAGCACATGGGATGGGAGTAATGTATGATTATAGATTAAGTATTGGCTAACAGCCAGTAAAAAGGAGAGGAGGAATAAATGGATCATTCTTGTGTTAGCAGATGGTGACTAGCGGGGTACTGCAAGAGTCAGTACTTGGTCTCCAGCTGTTCATATAAATTGGATGTGGGGACCTAATGTAATATTTCCAAATAGTACAAAGCTCATCAGAAATGTGTGTTTGTCAGGAAGATGTAAAGTGGCTGCAGGAGTATTTGGACAGGCTTAGCAAATGGCCAGGGACATGACAGTTGGAGTAAAATATCAATAAATGTAAGGTTATCCACTTTGGTGTGAGGAACAGATGTACATAGTATTTCTTAAATGTTAAGAGGTTGGAAAGTGTAGATTGCAAAAAGGACCTGGGTATACCTGTTAATAAGTTACTGAAAGCTAACATGCAAATGCTTCAAGCTATTAGGAAGGCTAATGAAAGCTTAGTCTTTATCATGGTAGGCTCATGCAGCAGATTAATTTGCATGGGATCCACGGTGACCTGCCCACTTGAATTCAGAATTGGTTGCCTGTTGAAGGCAGAGGGTAGTTCTGGAAGGGTGTTTCTCTGGCTGGAGGCACATGACTAGTGGTGTTCCATAGGGATCTATACTGGGACCTCTGCTATTTGTGCTATATTAATGATTTGGATGAAAACGTAGATGGGTGGGTTACTAAGTTTGCAGATGACAAAGATCAGTGGAGTTGTGAATAGTGTAAAAGGTTGTCAAAGGATACAGCGGGATATAGATCAGTTGCAGATCAGGGCAAGTGTGAGATGCTGCACTTTGAGAGATCAAATGCTAAAGAAAAGTGTACAGTTCAAGGCAGGATCCTGAACAGCATTGATGTACAGGGGGATCTTGGGGTTCAAGTCCACAGTTCCCTGAACGGGGCCACAAGTAGCTAGGATGGTAGAGAAGCCGAATGGCATGCTTGCCTTTACTGGTCGGAGCATTGAGTACAAGAGGCAGGATGTTATGCTGCAGATTTAAAAGACTTTGGTTCGGCTGCATTCAATTCTGGTCGGCACATTACAGGAAGGATCTGGAGGCTTTGGTGAGGTTGCAGAAGTTTACCAGGATGCTGCCTGGAATAGAGGGTATGAGCTATAAGGAGAGGCTAGAAAAACTAGGGTTGTTTTCTCTGGAGCACCAGAGGCTGAGGGGAGACACGATAGAAGTCTATAAAGTTATGAGATGTATAGATAGGGTTGACAGTCAGAATCTTTTCCCTAGAATTGAAATATCTAATACTAGGGGGCGTGCATTTAAGATGAGAGGGGGAAGTTCAAAAGGACTTGCGAGGGGCAAGTTTTTTGTTTAAAAAACAGAGTGGTAGGAGTCTGGAATGCACCACCAGGGTTGGTGGTGGAGGCAGATACAACAGGGGCATTTTAAGGGGCTTTTGGATAAGCACATGAATATAACAAGGAATGGAGGGATATGGACTAAGGGCAGGCAGAGGGAATTAGTTTAATTTGGCATCATTTTTGGCACAACATCATGGGCTGAAGGGCCTATTTCTGTGCTGTACTATTTAAAGTTCTATATGAGGGTTTGAGCACAGAAAGAGTGAAGAGTGAAGCCTTGCTTAGACTGCATCTAGAGAATGGCACGCAGTTTTTGTTATCTTATTTCAGGAAAACTATTATTGCCATAGAAGGAACACAACAATGGTTCACCAGATTTGTTCCTGGGATGGCAGAACTATCCTATGAAGAGAGATTGGGCAAACTCGGCCTGTATTCTCTCGAGTCTTGAAGAATGAGACGTAATTTCTTTGAAACTTCCAAAATACTTAAAGGGATGGACAGGGTGGACACAAGTAAGATGTTTCTCCTGGTTGGGGAGTCAAGAGCCAGAGATACAATTTAAAAATAAGGGGGATGCCATTGAGGACTGAGATGAGGAGAAATGTTTTTACTTAGAGGGTTGTGACTCTTTGCAATTCTGTACCCTTAGGGTTGTGGAAGTTCATTCTTTGAGCGGAGATTGTTTGATTTTGGATTATTAATGGTGTACAGGGATATGGGGATAATGTAGGTAAATAGCATAGACATATTTGGTCAGCCATGAGCATATTGAACGATGAAGTAGGCTCGATGGGCTGAATGGCCTATTCCTGTTCCATATGTCAACTGAACATGGTGCTTTAGTCTGGATATGGGGATGACCCTTGATTGAGCTTTGGGTGTTGTTAAGGTTGTTATGTGGGTAAAAGTGTGGAATCTTTCTTTCTGATATCTTTGATGAGACATTTTTGAAATAGCTCTTGGAACTAATAACTTGTCTGTTTTTTGTCTTTTATGTGATAAATTTAATACACTTTTGTTAAATGTTCAATAGCAGCCTCTTGTGAATATGTTCAGTGACTGAGACCTCCAAGGTAAACAAACGGAATTCACAGTCTGTCTATCAAGCATCATGTCATTCTGGGATCTGACTTGTTAGCGTCAACTGGAATCATAACATTACCCTTGTGGGATCTCCTGTCCAATGTGCTCAAGATCATGCTGGTCACAAATAGACCTGTTCAGTCAGATGAAGATCCGTGGCAAAAACATGTGACCCTGATTAGGTATCATCACAGATCAAGGGATAGACAATGTGTTTGAATCATTATGTAATATTTCACACAGTGATACACCATTCCAGTAGCACGCTGAAGTAAGAGAATATATGTTTAAACATTTAGTACTTAAAATGGTAGCAGCCTTTTCAAGGACTCACAGTGGTTAATGTCTTAGCATCCTTTATGACTTCTTCAGCAAATACCACATCTTCTTGCTTTTCTTTCATAGAGTCTTTGTTAATGATGTTCAAATCTTCTTCCACCATTTCACACATACTGTCCACCATCTATATAAAATTTAAAAAAAAATACTGTGGATTCAGTTGATTTCCTTACAGTATACATTATTACGTGTCCTGCAGAGGAAATTTATTTCTTGTTGATATAATTTTTGGTCCTATTTTTCTGTCAACAGGTACTATTGTAAATTGCTATGTCAAAATTTCCCATTCAAAATTTGCTATGTCAACTGTCACAGGTTAGTTTTAGGCTCTGACCACTGGCTAGCTCTTAGGAGTACATTTCCTTTTTCCCCTTCATTATCCTCTGTATGTAAAGTAAATCTTATATTCAGCATCTGATCATGAATGATTTGTTAGTATCTTACATCAGACAAAACCTTGAGAAAAACGAAAACACCAATTCAGCTTTAACTTCACTTTAGTGTTTTGATCTTGGCTTTGGTGATGGTCATACCTGTAAAACTTAGCTTTAAAATATTTAGCTTCATTAACACCAGCTTTGCTGCTGTATAAATTAACTCAATGTTTTCTTTCCATCCTGGTTACCATCCTTGATACTGTTATTTGTTATATAAAAAGAGAGCAGAAAAATAAGGGCCTCTATTGAGTGGAGAAGATTTAGACGTTAGTGCTGTCAGCATAAAACATGGAAAGTGGCCTCATGTCTATGGATGATGTCGCCAAGGGAAATCATAGAAGAACAAGAGCATGGAGTGAGGAAAGATCCCTGAGAGCATTCCTAGATCACAGTCTATGGGCAAGAGAAGTAGCCAATTTATCTTTTGACAACTAAAGTAAGCAGAGATTTCAGATGGATTATTCACAATTGAAATATGTTAGATGAGAACTAACAATAAATTCTGATTTTCCTATCAATAATGAAACAACTCCTTACCTGCTGTGTGGAACTAGTTATAATTCTCTCTTGCAATCGAAAGGCCTGCTCTGGCGAAAATTTCCTAATCTGATTGTTCCGTAAGAGGTACGATTGTATCTGGAAATCAGAAATTGGCCTTATAAATCAGCTTTATATTTTATGCTATACATTTCCAAACCAGTACCAATTCAAAATCACAACACTTTCTACTATACAATGCTGTCACAAATAGAATAATGGTAACTTTTACTTTCTGCAGTGCTTCCTCGGTTTTTTCTGGATTACTGCGGTAAGCCTGGGACACATCACTCATTGGGAAAGGCATTGACCTTAGTGTATAATTCCTGGAAAATAAAATGAAAGTGATAAAGATGTTTTTGCTTCAGAAAAGGCTTTTTCTGAAAAAGGGTCCAGAACCGAAACGTCAGCTTTCCTGCTCCTCTGATGCTGCCTGGCCTGCTGTGTTCATCCAGCTCTACACCTTGTTATCTCAGATTCTCCAGCATCGGCAGTTCCTACTATCTCTGACACCTAGAGTGAGTCTTATTAAGACAGGTTGGACAGATTGGGTTTGTTTCCACTGGAGTTTGAGGGTGACTTGACTGAAGCATAGAAGATCCTGAATAATTTTGACATGGTGGCCATGAAAAGGATGTTTCCTCTTTTGCTTTGGGGAATGGGGTGTCTATCCAGAACTAGGGGGCACTGTATTAAATTTAGGGCACCCTTTTAGGACACAGATGAGGGTAATTTTTTTCTCATGAGATTCTGCAACTTGGAACTCAGAGTCTCAGGTCATGGTGGAAGCAAATCAGCTATTTTTAGAGCAGAGCTAAATGACCAGAGACACAAGGGAATTGAGGTTATTTAAGGTAGGTGGAACATAGAATTTGAAATACAAACAGAAAAGCCATGATCTTAGTAAATAGTGGAGTGGACTGGAGGGGGCTATGTCTGCCCTTGTATTGTACGTTCGTATGAATTTGTTTGGATATTGATACCTAATAGTATTCTTTATTTAGCCAAACAAAATTCCAGTCTTTCAACAACATTAGCACAGTGAAGATTCAGTAGGTTTCTCCATTTTATAGGCTTCTGTACTGATAGTGAGAGATGGCAAGTGGAATGGAAGGAAGAGCAGTGAACACATTTACATCAACTGTGGGCAATTCTCATGTTAAGCGAGGATTGAGGATTCTCTTCTGAGAGCACAAATGACATTGTTATCTGTATGCTGAAGTTCTACAAGCGAGATTGAAATCCAAGAAGAAAACAACACCAGTGAGTTGAGGTTAAAAGTTTTCCATCTATTCTGTAGACAATGTTCACACCACTGGGAAGCTTGTTCTTAAGAAGAAAAATAGTGGCGATGAAGGTGGAGAAAAGGGCAGGACAGTGACGCATCCTTGCTTGACCTCAAAAGGATTCTGTTATGTAGCATGACCGATAT